GGGTTTAGGGTGTAGGGTAGGGGTTTAGGGTTTCGGGAACAGGGATTAGGCTTTCCCTAAACTTTCGGTACTTACGGCTTTTTAGGCCTTGAGGGCTCAGTGGCGGGGACTAGGGTTCAAGGTGCATACGTTGCGCCTAAGGTCCAGGGTAGGGGTTCTGAGTTTCGAGCTCGAGTTCAGGTCTAAGTCTAGTGCTTAGGGTGCGCACTTGGGCTTAGGGTTTAGGGTTTAGGGGCCCTACGTTTTCTGAAAAGCTCAAGTAGAGCCCAGACACTGCATCTCTGCATCAGGCACAGAGCTGCGGAAAGTCAAGGAGGACAGCTGGTAGGAACTGCGGGTTACTTATTCGGGTGGGTTGGACCACCCTGAACCTTAAGCTATAATCTTGTGACCATTGACTGGTGTTTGAACATGTTTGACCCTAAATCATAGACTTTATATAAGCCTTATGACCGTTAACTATTGTATGGCCACCCTAGACCCCAAACCATAAGTCCTATAAGCCTTATGACCATCAACTAGTGTTTGAAACGGGAGGCTTAGTCGTGGGAAGCGGGGGGAAGAGCTCAAACCCATCCCCATCCCTTGCAGGACAAAGCAATGGCCATCACAGGGGGCCTCGGTGGCAAAGGACACCGCTGAGAGACGCAGCCACTGGAGGTTTCAAGGATCCTTGGTTTGAGTGGACATTCACCCAAAAAGCGAAGTCTTAAACCATCTTGATCCGATACATGTCGAATGTCTCAGAATGCTTTTACTGACATTCCTCATGCGATGCTCTGATCAAAGTAGACGACGAGACTGGGACCCTCACTTCGGATGGAGCGATTGCTCTCAGCCGCCTTAGCTCTTAATCACCCTATAAGGGTACATGTGCACAAACCGGAACAACTTTAATAACTTCAAAGTAACTTGTTTAGGGTCTCTGGAGACTATAGGCAGGGGCTTCTGGAAGTTGTCCCTGCAGTGTGGGTGTGGGTCCGGATCTGGAGCCCCAACACCCTAAAACCGGTCGATCGAAAGGCGTAGGGTTTTTCGCCAACTCGACTACCCTGACCCTAAAGGGTCCATGAGCCCAACTAGTACATAGTTTAGCCAATGTATTTCCTCCCTCCGGGCCACCAAAAGCCAAAAAATCCCCCTAAACCCTAAACCCTGACACAAAAGTTGGGATCCTGCAACCAAGTCAAGAAATCGTTCTGAGTATCGGTTTCAACCCACAGAGGAAGCTCCCCACCCCAAAAAGCCCTTAAACCCTATAGAGCCAAAACCCTGAGCCCCAAAAAGCTCTGAAGCCCTATAGAGCCTAAGCCCTAAACTCCAAAAAGGCCCAAAAGGCCCTTAAGCCCCATAGAGCCTAAGCCCTGAAACCCAAAACAAGACCCCTAAGGCCAAGAGATCCCGAGCCGAACCCTGAACACAAAGAAGCCCTGAAGCCCTGAAGCTCTCAAAGCTGAAAGCCCTAAACTGCACGACCCAAAGGCCCTGAGCTGTTGGTTTTTGCTAGCTTGAGAAAAGGTTTAGGCTTGAGGGGTGTAGGGGTTTTAGGGGATTTTGGGGGTTTTGGGGTTTAGGGGTTGGGAATTAGGGTTTGGGGGTTAAGGGCTTTGGGGTTTAGGGTGTAGGGGGAAATCGGGTTCAAACCTTCCACCCTATGCCTTCCCTGCAAACCCGGAGTCGATTCTTTCCAAGGATGCTTTAAGTAAATCAGAACAGGGTCCCATAGGGTTTAGGGTTTGGGGGTTGACGGGATCCCTAAAGCTCTAGGCTAAAGTTTGGTCCAGAACTCTAGACATGCATTGACTTGTAGGTTCAAGCGGTTCGGAACGTAAGGGTTTGGAGTTTCGGGATCCCTACTTGGAAGGTCATGGGTAGTTATAAGTGGGGTTATAAGTAGGGTAACTATCCATATTAGGGGACTTATAACCCTACTTTAGTAAACCCTAAACCCTGGTGATGTTCCGGCAGAGCGATTGCAGAATTTCATCGTCTCGGCTTTGAGCCTCAACCCACCGCGCGGACTGCGGGCAAAAGTGCATCCGAAGAGTGAACCCCGCAAGTGTTCATGGCTTTGCGGGTGTGTTATAGAGAGTTGGAGGATTCGGGGACTTGCTGTACTTCATTTATATGCCACATGGACTGTAGACTTGGGGATGTGCTGCTTGTTGCTAGTCTGTCCATCCTAATCTAACTAAGGGTAACAACATGCAACCATACGGATGACCGTGCAGTTTCGTTCAAGGCAGCACAAAACCTGTCAACGAGATTAAGCAAAGCTGCCGTAGTAGCCCGGTAGCCCCCAAAGGGCCGTGGCCGTTTTGGAGCGCGAAAGGCATAAACTCCAGGTCATCCCCCGCTCAGAAACGAAACACGATGGTTAAATGGCAAGCGCAAAACCGGACGAAATAGGCTGTCAGCAGAATCCCAATGTCCAAAATTAGATTCGTGGTGCCGTTCGCATGTTGAGTGATGCTAGGGACTTAAGTTGCTGAGAGGGGTTTCTGGGGGTTAAACAAGCTTGCGCTTCTACGCATAGTTATGGTCTAGATGGAATTCTGGATTTCGGCTTCGTGCAGTTTATACACTTGCCGGCCTTTGTGCGTGGAGCCCTACTGTCAAGCCTAAACTCAACATTTCAGTCCTCGAGCCCGAAGCCCTAAATCCCTGACCCCCCCAAAACGTCTCAGAGTCCCAAAACTCCTAAACCCCTGAATCCCCAAACCCCAAAGCCGTAGTATAGGAACCCTCAAAGAAACCCCAAACCCCTACACCTCAGTGCGCATGGACAGGTCGCCTCACTTCATGCTGGAACTGGTGCTCCAAGATCGAGAAGAAGAAGTGCTCCGGAAACTAAGGTAGTTGCACTACTTCCAATGAGAAGGATTACTGCTGTTAGTGTCGTGATAGCTTGTTATGGTTATTGTTAGTGTTATTATTCTTATTGCTAGTGTGATTATGTGTTTCATGTTGATTATAATTGTACTTTTTTTGCCGGCATTTTTTGTGCGATTTCCAACCAGTAGAAGCGAGAAACTCATGTAGTTTGCTGATTGCCAAACCCCTGTCCTTCTATAGGACAAAAAAGATTCCCGTCCTTATCCCGCTTACGGACCAAAAGGTCCACGAACCCGATTTGGTACTGTGGTGTAAGGTAGTCTTGTGAGCTAGCACATACCCTGTAGGTACTTGGGCTGCGGATAGGAGTAATAAAGGCCAGTATTTGAGAGAGTATGAGATCCTTCGACTCTTAGGTACAGGGGTGCAGGATTCTTGGCCGGTTTGCGATGCTGGGGATAAAGTTTTTGTTGGGGAGTTCGAGTTCAGGGCGTCAGCTTTCGGGTTTAGGGCTTGGCTCTTGGTGGTTCATAGGGTGCGGGGCTCAGGCCCGTTTCTTAGAGCTTTTGAATTTAGGGTTGAACGATGGTTTCAGGACCAACCGTTGAGCAGGCGTGTATGCGCCCACACACACACACACATACGTACGTACGTACATACATACATATATACATACATACATATCATACATGTATATTGTAGTTCGGCCACATAGTTCTCCAAAAGATGTGTTTGTGTTTTGTATGTGCGCGTTTGTTTGTTTTCTGGGGAAAAGCTATTTTTCGACCTGAAGCCATCTTTTCCTCTGAACAACTTGGGCTTTCTAGCCAAAACCATCTTTTCTGAAGCAACTCACAACAGCATCAAT